CCGAACCACGATATCTGGAGAACAGACCTAAAACATTGACATTCGGTTTGAAAGCACAGTACAGTGCAGTTTGTAATTATAAAACTTATAGGTCTTGGTGTGTTTATGAAAACTTTTTTCGATTATTACTTTTTTATGTTAAATTTGAAAAAAAGATAAATACTTTTTACTCTAATAAAGATTGTTAAAGAAATCCGCTTACAATTTTGATTCGTACATATCGAGAACCCACTGTAGCGACGTCCACGTCCGCGTCTGAGTTTCATGTGCCACGTCCATTGCACCCCCAATCTGCTTTGTACATTGACTTCTCTGCTCCGCTTTGTTTTCTGCATTCGCTGCAAGTTCTGTCTTTTCTCTCTCTCCCACTCTCTCTTACTCTCTCTCGGACCTGCTCTCTCTGTGGGCTCTCATTGCCCACCGTACTGTGCATTCCCATACCACGACCTACCTTACCCACACCCACAGTGCGCTGCTGCTGCTGCACAACTCCCGCCCGGGCAGCGCTGTCGGCGTCGACGTCGATGGCGGCAGCGCAGCTCGTTTTCATATTGAAAGTAGAATTTTTCACTTTTGCGAAAATTTGCAGTTCAGTCGAAGACTCACAGTCGCAGTCATTTTGAATACGTCATGTGGAACGCACCGTCGCGTTCCGTCCTCTGTCGCGCTCTTCCTCTTCTGCGCAATCGTCTTACCAATCGGCGGCTAACTTTCGTTTGTTAACACTACAATTCGATCGGGCCAACGTGCAGTCCCCTGGATGCGGATGCCAAAAGTATCTGCGGGATGCGTGCGGACCAAGTGGACTCTTAGTACGTGGAAAATGTTTTGATTAAGTGCAGTGTTGTGCGAGCTTTGTGTATTAATCAAGGGTTATTAGTTCTAAAAGTATAAAACATAAATATGGTTAATTACGATGGAAAGCGCTTTTAAACATTTGGAAAAAGGGCTTAATTTAATGTATTATTATGGCACCTATAAATTCTAAATGGCTAAATAAAATGTTCTTTTGCTTACCAATCTAAAAGCATCATTAAACTAAAACTGCAATAAACAATAAGGCCCAAAAAACATCTTGTGAACAACAAAAATTGTTGTGAAGAAATTGACAAACATAAAAAATGTCTATTAAGAAAAGAGCAACAAAAAATTAACTAAAATTGTGTGATATTATAACAAGTAAAAGTTGAACAAAATTTAAGAAAACGCCTAACGAAATTAAATAAATCAAATTATAAATTGAGTTATTTGTAAAGGATTCCACAAAACTAAATTGGAATTGCAGTGCAAAGTAATCAAAAGATTATAAATTATAAAACAAAATTCATCAAGTGAAAGTAAATTACTGAAATAACTACAATCAATGCAGAAAAATAGCTAAAAAAATATTAAAGGCAAAACAGATACTTCAAAATTATTGTAATGGAACGAAAACATTAACCAAGTTTTACAAAAATGAAAAATTACATGAGTTAAAACTAAAAGTCCTTAAGAAAAGGTGGATTACAAAAAATTATTAGCCTACCTTTCACTCTCGGAATCTGCGTGCAACTAAGCCCTCATTAGATGCTTAAATCTATTGGCTATTAAAAAAAATCAAACCCTAGAGCACTCATCCTTCTGGCTGAATAAGCTCCTTTTTTGGCCCCAGTCCACTGCTGTCTGACTCATTCCACATGGCCGAAACTCCGTCTGGAGTTGCAACCCTCATTAGAGTCGAGCCACACCCCCTGCAAATAGTGCCCAGCACCACCCACCACTTACGCCCCCTGCAACTCCCCAGAAATGCAGAAACCCCAAAAAACAGAGGGGGGAAATCTAACAGGGTATCTACAGGGCGATAACAGTGCGCTGCTTGCTCAACTGTAGACGCTCTGTAAGCCTTGCCGTGGTGTGGGTGAACTTGAACACACACAAACACGCGATTGTTCTATTTCTCTCAGTGCTCTCACTCTCTTTTTTATTTGCACTGCTCTCTTGCTCGATTTATTCTATTTCAAGTTCTTATTTTGCAATGCAGCTGTGTGCGATGTCGTTCAGTGTTAAGGTCAATATACATTGCCGCCTTTGCATACATGTGCACTTTTTTTTGCTGTCAATGTGTGCGTTTGCACTAAGAAAATGAACTTGTTACTATATATTCATATATATATTCATATATTGTAAAATTGTTTGCTAGCTTAAAATTATAAAATTCAGATAGAATACCATTTATAGAAGAAGATTATTTTAATTTTTGTAGGTCCAACCCTCATCCACTTTTAATAAGTGTTTGGGTCTGTTTCATTAGTTTTCCAAGCTTATCACTCATACGTACTGTTGCATTTTTTTTTCTAACTGAAATTATTTGTTTTTATAATTTTTTGTTTTATTCCTTTAATGTACTTAACGATGTATTTCAATTTAATTAAGCTAATCCCTATTTTTCCTCTGTGGATTTCCACATGGTTGCAGCTCGTGAGGTTGCGTTTTGTTTGTTGATTAGTCTGCTATTGAATGTTGCCATGCACACGCGAGTGCACACATTCGCACATTGAATGTCATCGCCTTTGCTCGTTTTGTAAATAGCGGTTTATTTGGTGCCTAGCAGTTGTGTATATTTTTTTGGAGGTCTCCCCCACTGACGTTTGCGGAAGCTTCCGCTATTTGGCCGCCATCGAATGGACGAGGAATTGTGGGGCATGATGCATCATCTCATGGGGCATCGAAAAAAATGTACACTTCTTTTGACAATGTCATATGATAGTTCTGCTTTGCATTTTATGGACAGGTGAAAGTAAACGAAATTTATGTGCTATAGAATATATTAACGGGGATAAATAGGGAGGTCAAATTGGGTGATTAAAATAGCTAGACTGTGTAAGGACAGTTTTATGATCGTATTATAATAACATTTGTAGTCCCAAAAGTTATATAAAAAAACGGATTTAGAAGTTTTAAAATAATAGCTTTAAATTATTTGGAGTTCGCTAGATATTTCATAACGTATACTTTTCAAGCGGTACAGCTAAAGTTCTCAGACTTAGCATATCTAATGTGCAAAGTTCCTTTTTTGCCACTCCAGCTCGATTCATCAATTACAAACAGACCCCGAACCTACCTCAATGCGAGACCCTGCCCTAACCCAGAGAAAATAACCCAAGCCAACTTAAAAACACAGACCCATGGAAATCTCGCCGCACGCATATTACTCATACGAAAACGCACCCGAAACACGGAAGTTGAGGCCCAATAAGTGAAACCCCAAATGAAGGCCCAGCAACCCCCGAAAAGTGAGCAACCCTTATGCCACAAAAAACTCCATAAACTCCCACTTGAACTGCCCCAGTCCAAACTTTGTTAACACCCCGCGAAAACAAAAAGTCTGACAATCATCCGTACGCATTATTCGCTTTTGCCTGGCTCATTCGCATTTATTTTTGTTTATTTATGTTTTGCTTGTTGTATTCTTCGCCTCAGCTTCCTCGTACGCAGTCGCTCTCTCTCTCTCTCTATCTCTCCCTCTCTTTTCGGATCTCTCGGAATCTCTCGCTTCCATTCTGACCACCTTTGCAGCCTGATTCTCTTCTCATTTTTCATAAGGTTTTCACTTTCGTTGTGCAGCTTTTTGCGCGAGAGCCGACTCACAATTTTTTCCGCTCTTTTCTGGTTCTGGTTCTGTTCTGGCTTTCTGAGCTTTTGCAGTTTCAGTCAGAGAAAGTACGGCCAACGAAACGCAGCGGTTGCGAACATATATATATTCCAACCAGTCGCGTTTTTACCAAATAAACAAAAACACAGCTAGCCGAGCAGAAGTGTGAATGAATTTGTAATCGAATTTCCAAAAAGAGAAAAATATTGAAAATATCAATAAATAAAAGAATCGGTGGAAATGTGCAATGAATATGGGATCACGCCAAGTTCCCTTATATAAGCGAGAGCCCATTTTCAAGGGCGCCAAGTGTTTGCCACATTGAGCCGTAGTCGTAGTCGTGGCCGTGGCCGTGGCCGTAACCGTGTCCGTATCCGTGCATCGTTTTCGTATTGTATCGTATCGTATCGTATCGTATCGTGAGCGTCCTTGTCCTTGTGCAGGCCGAACAGCTGCTTGGGTCCTCTTACCCCGACACCGACACCCCTCCCTCACCCCCCACCCCCATTCGTCCTTGTTCTTGAACCATAGTCCTCCAAAAATATCTGCTCCTGCTGCTGCCACTGAAAATCGACCTTCCCGGGCGCCCAGGCCCAGCTGTTGCTACCGACCACCCACTCAAACTCGGCCCTCTGCTGTTGGCCATACAACATATACAGAAAATAGCTGAAATATTACTAGAAAAAATGGTAGAAAAGCGAAGCTATCGCTAAAACAGCTGTGCAATTCCGGCGAAATAATTTTGTTCGTCATCTCGTCGCAATGTGCTTCAATAAGTTGTTCCTAATAAACAAATTCGCCCAGCGTTTGCCAGGCACAAAGGTCAAAAGTCAGCAGAGACAAGTGTAAGGGCCTAAAACCTTAAACAAACAACAACAACAACAAAAAAACGAGCAAATCAAATAAAAATCAAAGTGAAAATTCCAACTCAGAGCTTAAAGCAGTTTCATTATTAAAAATGACACTTTAAAATCTATCAAAGCTCACACAACGCTTGCCAGCGAAAAGAAAATTACTTAAAAATAAAATCAATTCAACTATATTTTTCTAGAGGTGTTTTAAAATAAAATAACCAAACTACTCCACGAAAGTATAAGATCGCAAATCTTTATAAAAACAAAGTGAACAAAAATTACTGCTCAGGTTTTAAAGTTTATAACAAAGAAAATAAAAAAGCAACTTAAGCGTTGTGTTTCATGTGCAAAATCTTAAGAAATATCTATACAAAAAACTCATATATTTTTGGAATAAAATTACTAAAACCAATTGAAATAATAAATCTTGTGAATCGTTTAACTTGTAAAAAATATAAAGTAGTATAAGCAGTGAATATATATAATTTTAAAATCAATTTGTAAACAAACAAATAAAAGATTAAACCTTATACACCTAAATACGATCATTAAATATATATTCTTATACTTATTATTCAAAGATTTTAATCAATCAATACATCAATCAATTTAACAATCAACCGAGCGATTTACATCAATTTGTTAAAAAGTAAGTGAAGCAAAACTATAGGTTTTAGGTTTTAAATGTTATAGTCGAAAGAATTAGTTGATGGGCACTTTTTCGAATGTTCCATTTTTCTAAAGTAAGCTCTAACGCGATTTTATCCTTCGCAGCTACTTCAAAGAAATACCTACAAACATACTCAGACGCTGCTGTGGATCGGTCGAAGCATAAATCAGCAAACAATAAACCATCAAGTATTATTAGCAACTAAAACGAACTCAGACTCGGAATCAGCCTCAGAACTCTCAGCACGAGATCATCAAACTTAACTCAACGCAACTCAGTCGAACTCATCTCATCGTCAACGGAAGTAGCCTCAACCAGAATACAACAGATATATTTAGACATATGGTAATGATCAAGCAACTGTGGGCAGGTATATAGGAACAACGCTAAGATAAACGTAAGGACTAAGGACAACAACAAATTCTCTAGGATACAATAGAATACAAGAAAATACAAGCAACAAAAAAAAAAAAACTAAAAACAAGAAAAGGACAACTTTTTCATGCAACTTTGAAGGCTGACAAAACTAATATTTTGATAATCCAAAGCAGAAGCGAACAAACAAATTACAAATTACCACAAAAAAAAACAGCAACAACAACAACAGCGTAAAGAAGAAGAGACTGATTTTAAAAATAAAGGAGCAAGCAGAGGAAGGGATAAAAAGCAGCAGAAGTGAGGCAAAAGTGATTCAGGATCAAATCCAAACAAAAACAAACAACAAAACAACAAAACAAACAAAAAAAACAAGCAACAAAAGCAACTTTCCATACAACATATTTAGATAATATCTAAGACAGATTGATATTTTTGTGCGATTATCCCTATTTTGATATATCATGTTGAAGAAACTCAAATGCATGGAAGCGGTCCAGGCAGCCGCGGCTGCAGCATCATCATCGGGAGGATCCGGAAGTGGTTCGAGTTCCGCCGCGAAGCTGATCAAGACCGAACCCATTGACTTCGAGATGCTGCATCTGGAGGAGAACGAGCGGCTGGGTGACTTGGAAAGGGAGCCCAGTAGCAGTAACACCTTGACCCCGCAGCGATACACCCACGTGCAGGTGCAGACCGTGCCACCACGCCAGCCCACGGGTCTGACCACGCCCGGCGGCACCCAGAAGGTCATCCTGACCCCTCGCGTGGAGTATGTCCAGCAGCGAGCCACCAGCTCCACGGGCGGCGGTGTCAAGCACATATACGGCCAGCAACAGGTGGGCTCACGATCTGCACCACCCGAAGCCACTGCTCTGCTGACCACCTCCTCGGGCACGCCCCAGATCATCATCACCCGAACCCTACCCTCCAGTCAGCACTTGTCGCGTCGCCATTCGGCCAGTCCCTCGGCCCTGCACCACTATCACCAGCAGCAACAACAACAACAACAGCAGCAGCAGCAGCAACCACAGCGACAACAGCAATCGCCACCACCGCTGCACCACCAGCAACAGCAGCAGCAACATGTCCGCGTGATCCGCGATGGCCGCCTGTACGATGAAACCACTGTGGTGGTGGCAGCACGCAGACATTCGGTATCGCCACCACCACTGCACCACCATTCCAGGTCGGCGCCTGTGTCCCCGGTGATCGCCAGGCGGGGTGCTGCCGCTTATATGGAACAGCAATATCAGCAAAGGCAGACGCCACCGCTGGCACCACCGCCGCCGCCTCCGCCACCACCGCCTCCACCACCGCCACCCCAACAACAACAACAACAGCAGCAGCAGCAGCAATACATCTCCAGTGGTGTTGCACCACCCACGGCAGCGGCTCGCAAGTTTGTGGTTAGCACCAGCACGCGACACGTGAACGTGATTGCCGCGAATCAGTTTCAACAGCAACATCAATCGCAGCAGCATCAGCAACATCAGTCGCATCAGCAACATGTGATTGCTAGCGTTAGTTCTAGTAGTAGCTCCTTGGGATCAGCCGGCTCTTCTTCTTCGCACATCTTTCGCACGCCCGTGGTATCAAGCAGCAGCAGCAGCAGCAGTGCCAACAGCAACAACATTGGGCACAGCAGCAACATGCATCACCAGCAGCAACAGCAGCAGCATCAATCGAACCTGGGCAACTCGGTGATGCGGCCACCACCGCCGCCGCCTCCGCCCAAGGTCAAACACGCCTCCAGCTCCAACAACAGCAATTCAAGCAGCAACAACCACAACAACAACAACAACGGCAGCAGCAGCAACAGCAATGGCGAGGAGCCGTCTAGCTCGATTCCAGATCTAGGTAAGTTTCTGCCCCAAGAGTCAAGTCACTCGAACTGTTAAACTAGCCACCCGTTGACCCTGACGGCACTTGTCGATCGCTTTATGGTCGTACAAGCGATTGGCAGGTTCCTACAAAACAAAAATATATATGAGCACTGGACTACACAAATATAATTGTTATTTGAAGTTGCCAAATAATTGCAATTCAAAGATAATTATGGTTTTTAAGGGAAATATCTACCCAAATGCATTTGATATTAATTTATATACTGACAAAAACAATATTTAATGGGAAATCCAAAAGAAAAAGCTAATCCTCAAGATCCAGCTTACACTTACAGAATCTTTCTTAATCATATTAACTATTTTCTCTTACTAATTCAACAGATCTCTTTTTAAAATCAGCTGCGTAGTGTAAAACTGGGCCAGACAAACTTGGCATGTAGGAAATTAAAATGTACAAGTATTCGTTTGTGAGTCAGCGGTTAATAGAGCTGTTTGTACAGTTAGTCGTTGCACATGAGACATTTATTTATATATGTATATCTATGGAATAAATGGGAGTAACGGTAATGTTGCAACCAACAAAAGGTCAAACTAAATATGAGTAATTTTACTTTCTAGACCAACGAAGCAAAAAACATGCAGAGTAGAATATTAATTGAAGCACGTTTTGAAAATGGAATGCATTTGGGGGTTGGGTCAACGGGGGTTATAGTAAATGTTTGTCAAGGCATAATAGATGTGAAAGTCTGTTCGGGAATTCGAATTATACTTCAGTAGTCCGATTTCAAATTTGTGTTTCAAGGCCATAAACATTTCTACTGAAATAATTGCAATTCATCATTGAATTACCTCATAATTTAGGATTGCTTTTTGGGAATGATACATAAACTCATTTGTACACGTACATATATCGTCCAATCCAATCATCTGCTGCACCTTAAATAACAATTTTTATTTTAATTTAATTATCAATTTAAATTGAAATTGTTTTCGGGGGTTGGTCAACAAGCTGTCCCCCTCCCCTTTTCAATTCTCGACACACTTTTTTGCATGGCCAAGGCTGCGAGCAATATATTATATATTCCTATATATATTTGTGTTAATTTTTTTGTGTATTCAACAACTGCTTCTCTCGTTCTCTCACCTTGAACTTCAACTGGAATAAACTTGCCGCTCTGTCTGCTTTTCTGCTTTCCTCTGACGTTATGTCTGACTTTTGTTGGGTTCGTCTCCAAATTGGAATTAAATCTATATGGGTGAAATTGCGTATAAATGAAATATTTACAAAATTTGCATTGTTTGCCGACAGTAGGTCTAAAATTGTTTCTTTTTCTTATTTATAGTTACATTTGCAATGCTGATTTTACTTTTCCGCTTCCGTTTTTCTAAATAACCAAGTGTATTTAAATATTTTATTTTGTAACTTCGTTAGAAATAAGGAATTCTTAATAATAAAACATTATGTAATAGTTTTATTTGATATATGATTAAATCTTACGTTTGATAGCCAATTTATATGCAAATACGGCATTATATTAATTATGGTTATTGTCACCTAATAATAGCTAATTATCTAACTTCCCCACTTTGATGGGATTTCCTTATAACATTATTCGTTTTGTGATATTTATGAGAATTCTCAGGCGTTTGTTTCCATAAATTATTCACTTTCAATTTTGTTTTGTTTGGCTTCCCCCCTTCAGAGCTTTAATTAATCACATTTTTGTTTATTTTTCCACCTAAACGATCAAGCGTAGTGCGTTAATTATGTGACCAGCATTTTTTTTTTAATACAGGTTAAATCATATGTTTGGATCGGGATTTCCAGCTAAGTGAGGAACCTGTTCCACGAATGCGAAAGATATACGAATGAAAGTGACAGTTGAGAATGATTTTCGGGCTGAGAACTCTTGGTATTCTAATGATTTCATTTGGCTGAGCTGTGGGTTTTTTTTATATTTCGCATTGATTTTTTTATTTATTTATTTTTGCACATGCCCCAAGATACGCTTAGTTATACAATATGTATACGAGCGTGTGTGCTTATATGGAGAGTCGGGCGAGCTGAATTCTTGGACCACGGCTTGTTGTTCTTGCCGTTCTCCTTTGTTGCTTGGCTAATAAATAAACGAGTCTGCGAGTTGAGCAAATAAAAGTCAAGGCCAACGGGGCCGACTCGATAGATTTATTTGCCTTTTTCCCCGTCAAGCCGTCGGCTGTGAAAGTGATTGCAGATAGGCTACCGATTTCCTACCTGTTTTCGATTTTTCCCAGTTGTCCCCAGTTTCGGAAATGCTCGATTGTAGGGCAGCAGCGTTTTCAATGTCAATGCCAAACCCAATCCGAGACCTTAAGCTCCACGCATCACACCTATCAGCAATGGGTCAACACTGGGTGCTTGTGTGTGTATGTAGAGCACTCATAAACGTCCATATTCCCCATGAAATGTATTTTTATTCCATTGTTATCATTTTGCACAAGTGACTGGCGGCAATTGCCGCACATAAACACACAAGGGATAACGAAAGAAATTGAAAGAGAAAATATTTGAGAAAATCATTTAAAGCTTATATTTTTATTTTATTTATTTAAAAAATTTGTTTTTAATTGTTTTCTTATTAAAAGAATAAAAACTAATAATAGACACTGATCATTGCAACACTTTTTTATATTACATGATAAATTGGATCCATTATTTCTTATTTATGTTTATTTTAAATGTAAAAAAAATATATATATTTAATAATTTCTCTAACCAAAACAGCTCTAGCTCATTTGTTATTACTTATATAAATTTGTACCCCTATTACTTCACTTTGACAACTAAGTAGTGAGAAAAAGTTGCATTTGTTCGAGTAAGCCAACTGTTGTGTAAACACTTTTATTAACTAGTATATAGTGTTATGCAAAGGGTTGTTCAAAACGTCAATTTAACTACTACCTACTGACACAAAAACTATACCAATTTAGTAATTACTTAACAATTTATGGATAGAAACACATGGTTTATTTCCCTGCTTTAAAGGCATTTATAACTATTGCATAACATGAATATATAAATAAATTTATATACTGTGTTATTTCATCTATTATTTTAATTGAACCTATTAAAATGCCTGAAACTAGCTCAGTAGCTCTTAAACTATAACTTGATTAGCAGAGGAAAGGTTTAGCATATACTGAGGTGTAGAGCAAGCGCAATTGCCTTATTGCGTTCTGGCCATCTTTCAGTTGAGTCATTAGCAGCGTTTTGACTTATTTTTCCGGATTGCCTGGCCTAGTCCCAGTCATCAGACGACCTTGCCAGTGAAAATGCGCTCTCCCTCAGACTTACATAACACCCACAAAGAGCTAACTAAATGTTGATTTTTGCTCAGAACCAGCACTTATATTATTTAAAAGAATAAAAGGCAAACGCGTAATTTGTTAAGGATTGGTTGTACTATGTGCAAGTGAATAAATAAATAGATTATGGCCTATAAAAACCGATCAACGATCGCCGGAGAGGTGATGCGTTGGGGGTTTTTCGACCTTGAGGTTACACAAACTAATAATAAATATACCTACTTGTTGCTAATTTCCCTTTAATACAAAAGTGTAATGTGTAAATGTTTTTTAACCGAATTGAATATTGATTGAAATTATAATACACACTTTAACCACAATGTATAAATTTGTGATGACTTAACTATTAAGGCAATAGAATATTAAACGATTCTTGATTTTAATGAGTTATAAGGAATAAATTTGATGAGGAAATCAAATAGATTAGACATGGCTGAAACTTTTTAAATATTTTTATTGAATCGATTAAATTTTTGGTAGAACAAAACCTTTATTGTTTCGTTTTCCAAAAAGTCATAATGTTACAACTAAATTTTGATTGAAAAACTGTATTTATTATGTAAGGAATGTGCAAAAGAATGTGGATCAGTGAAATTTGCAATATCTCTTTACAAAAACTTTGTTCACTTTCTAAATGTATTTTCTATAGTTTTTCTCGATGGCCCTGAATTACGTTCAAAAATATTCGCATAATTACACAACAGTTTAACGAACAGATTGATTTATAACTGTTGTACTCCCTGAACTATGCTTAATTCAAATGCAATCACCCCAACCCAAACGATTTCCACTATAATTCAATTCTAGTCGTCAAAACATTGATACAAAGTCACGCCAAGTGCAGTCTGGTTATGGCAATTTTTCAGTTACTTAACCGAACACAGATAAACGGGCTACGACAAAAATAAAAAAAAAAAACAGTTAACAAAAGTATCTAGCGGATAAAAATGCCATGCGAAGCAAAACAAAACCTGTTCTAATAGCAACAAAAAATCGAAACATAACAAAACAAAATCGCAACAACCAAATGCAAATAAAAAAAAAAAATAACATACAATGTGCAATTGTATAAAAATGCGAATTACAAGTGGGCGAGCGCAATAAAAATGTTAGAAAAGAAATAAAAAAAAAACACAAGGTCATTGAGAAGCGGAAGAGAAACACAAAAGGCAAAAGCAAAAAGCAATAGCGAAAAGCAATAGAACCAAAACCAAGCAAAAAGCACAAAAAAAAATTGTGACACACTGAAAGCGAGAATACAATAATTACACAAACAGATGTATGGGTGTTTATGTGTGAGAGGGGGGAACCGAAAGAGGAAGGGGTTGTGATGGGTGGGAGGGGGACGGGGGGCGGGGCGTAGACAAGTGCAGGCGTAACGTAAATCTAGAACACTTCCTGAACGAGCAAGCGAGATGGCGTAAACAATTAGCGAAAAGTGAATTTGATTACAGTTGCAACGGGGCGTATGAGTGACGTACTTGAGCGCCGCCTTCCATCTAGCTGTCACCCTCCCTCTCTCGCGCCTTCGCGCCAGCACCGTTACAATCGCATTGAGACTGAGGCTGCGTAACGGTACCGCACTAGGCCAAATTACAAGGTCGCGCTGGTAATCCCAAACCCAAGCGGTATGTCCTCCCAGCGATTTTTCAATGATTGCAAACTAAT